CTCTCTCTCTCTCTCTCTCTCTCTCTCTCTCTCTCTCTCTCTCTCTCTCTCTCTCTCTCTCTCTCGCGCGCGCGCGCGCGCGCGCGCGCACGTGCAAGGGCGCGCTGTCCTTCTTTTTCCTCCTCCTCCACTTCTTCAACCACCTCCTCCTCCTCCTCCTCCTCTTCTGCTCGTGTCTTTGATACAAACTTGTGTTCATAGTCGTACGCATCTAAACAGGCGAAATGCGTCGGCCCTTTTTTTTTTTTTTTTTTTTTTCGTGTTGTGAACCATTCGATCAATCAACCAACCAATCAATCAATCAATCAATACATCAAACCATCAAACAATCAATCAACCAATCAATCAGTCAATCAATCAATCAAGCAAGCAAGCAATCAGTCGACCGATTGATGAATTGATTGATTGATTTATTTGATCAATCAATCAATCAATCAATCAATCAATCAATCAATCAATCAATCAATCAATCAATCAATCGATCAATCGGTCGGCCGATTGTTTGATTGATTGATTGATCGATTGTTTAATTAATGGATTGATTGATTGATTGATTGATTGATTGATTGATTGATTGATTGATTGGTTGATTGATTGATTGATTGTACTCATTGTGTTCATTTGGTGATGCAGCTTGCAATTTGGTTGCGTGGTTGAGCGAGTGACAACTCCACTGCCGTTTTGTCAAGTTCACGCCGTTTGTTCATTCCGTTGATCTGCGTCGCCTTTTTTTGCGGACTCACTCGTTCCTGCATCATGACATTGGCGAGCAGACGCCGCTTAGGCACCGCCTATCCGGCCTTCCAGTCCCTTCCGGAGTCGAAGCAGTTGGACTTGAGGCGTTCGCACGTGGTGTGGCAGTGGGTGTTGATAGGTCAGGAATGGGGTATGCTGGGCGGTGGCAACTACTTGATGCGTTGCCGCCTACGTGACAAACTCTTCCCCGGGTCGTGGTCGAGGGCAGTGGAGCACTTTACGAAAACGAAGGTGCACTGTCCTTGACAGATCGGGGACATATTATGGCAATTGCAGTGCGCAGGGGCAATGTTGAAAGACCCACTCTCACAGAGGTTGGCTGCGGAGCGTGCCCAAACACTGGAGGAGGGTCTGGCGACAGAGGATGAGCTTGAGCGTGATGTAGGGGGCATGCCGAAAGTTGCTGCAACACAAGCACATATTGATGGCGAGGACAATCACGGGGAGGAAGTGCCCCCACAGAGAGATGCTACACATGATGTTCGCGACCGCTTGCGAGCAGATGTTGGTATGGGGGCTGAAGGCGATGAGGCGGCCATAAGAGTCACTCCGAGTGCGACGGCTGCCGCTACGCAGCTCATTGCATGATCGAAACAGTTGACATTGGATCCTTTTTTGGGGGGAGAAGGTGCAGAAGGATCTCGATCGTCTTCTGGCTCTGGCTATGTATCGAGGAGGTGTGCCATTCAACTGGCTACGGTTGAAGGAGACACATGATTACTGGGATTACATAGTCACACTCCTGCGCCCCTCCATCGTGCCAGTGCCACGCCTCCTCTCATATGAGGAAATGCGGACGAGGATGTTGGACATCATTTTCCATGAGGTTGCGGCGCTTATAGCCCCAAAGAAGGTGAAGTGGGCAGATACCGAATGCACGCTATTGACAGACGGGGCGACGGACCAGACAAACAAGTCGATTATGAACTTCATCGCAGCAGGGAAGTCAGGGTCGGTCCTCATTCGCACCATTGATATGTCGGAACGAGAGAAGACTGACATCAGTCTCGCTCAGATTTGGGAGAGCGTCATTCGCGACGACATTGGAGTTGATCATGTCAATGCGATATGCACTGACAATGTCAAGGTGATGAAGACCGTGACAGCGGCGAGCATTCTGCAGTCTCACTCGGACCTCGAGATTGCACGCATTCTTTGGATCCCGTGTGCAGCGCATTGCTTGAGCTTGCTGCTGAGGGATATTGTTGCGCAACCTTGGGCGCAACTGGTCATGAAGCAAGAGCACAAGATTGTCAAGTTCATGAGAAACAAGCAAAAGGCGCAGACACTTCATCGCAAGGTTGGGGTTTCGTTGAACCTCAAGCGACCTGCGGACACGCGCTTCGGGACCGCTTATATGATGTTGGAGAGGCTGTGGGACCAGAGGGAGGTGCTTGATTCAGTGGTTTCATATGATGCTTGGAAACGACTGCGGTGGGCAGGGGATGCACGGGCGGACGAACCAGAGGTGCACAGACTATGCAAATCTGATAGGTGGTGGAAGGAGGTGAAGAGGATAATGGACGTGATGGAGCCGTGTTACACTTTCCTCAGGGCCATGGATCGTGACGGATCGTCACCCTCAGGATTATGGGATTTGGAGTCCATCCTCATCCGGATGATTGACACTTTGCAACTGCCAACGGGTGAGAGGGCTGATGTAATGGAGAGAGTGGCCGATAGGTGCACAATGATGCGTCAGCCTGCCCACGCAGCAACTTATCTGCTAGATCCTCGTCACCGCTTGTCATTGTTGACGAATTGCTCAGCGCCAGTTGTTCAGAGTGCGCTTCACCACTTCGCACGACATTTGGGAGCGCGGTGGAACACAGAGGAGATGCATGGTCTCTTGCATGCGTTGTAGACTTTCCACAGTGACGACCCTCGGTACTGACCCCAAGATGGCGGCCCTTATTGGTGGGACGACATTGCCATTCACAATGCAGCGGACCTGACCATGCACTCGATGTTGTGGTGGCACCTTCATGGCGGCTGTCACGAGAAGTTACAAAAGATTGTGAAGAAGGTGTTGGGCATGTGGTCAACAACGTCCCTCTGCGACCGCAATTGGGCGACACACGACTTCACCCACACAAAGAGACGCAATTGTCTCTCTGCGAAGAGTGTGGAGAAGTTGGTGTTCATCCATTGAAACATGCAGCTTCTCACGGCGACTAGGCGGCCGGATTATCGCTACATCGACGTATGGTTCGATATGGTGGAGGATCCCCCTAAGGAGGTGGATGATGCAGATGTCATCCCACCTGATGTGGACGAGCAAGACTGGGAGGTTGTGGACCGAGCCAACCGTCGAAAGGACAGTCGTGTCGAGTGACTTCTGGAGGAGGGGTAGACGATGACGGTTTTGGCATGGAGGTCTGGCAGGATGCAGCATGGATGCACCGCGAGATGATGGAGCAGTCGCAGGGGGAAAGGAACAAAGGGAAAGCGCTTGCAGAGGACCAGCATGACCTTCTGGACGAGTGGGCGGGGTTGGACCCTCACACAGACTTTGACGGCTACGTCGATGGTAGTTTCTAGACAGTGAGGGATCTTCGGGCGAGGGTGGGAGGTCATGTAGATATGGAGGGTCTATTGTCCAGAGATGATGCGGAGGACGAGGAGGAGCACCGCCATGAGGACGTAATCGCATCGACTTGCGGGATGGAGAGAGGAGGCGCCTCGAGTTCACAATGTCCCGCCACTTCAGACTGCGAGGTTATTCCTGAGCGGTCCCATGGTTGCGACGTGGGCGGAGAGGATGCTACAGTTGAGGACCCGCCTCGTTCTGTGACGATCGCTTCTGTTGCTAGCATCGGCCACGTAGTTGGGAGTGGGGGGTCTGTCGAGGGGACAATGCATCGTGACACGGAGGACAACGTGAGGGAGAGGGCGAAGGGTGACGCGGATCAGAGGGGGGCTGAACAGGTCGAGGACAGCGGCCTCCACCGGCAGAGGGTGGAGCAGACGAGACAACAAACCATACACGGTGTGGGGGTTAGACAGAGTGTCAAGCAAACTGTGCATCCGAGGATGGATCCCCTATCGGACGCAATTGAGCATCGCCCAAACTTCAATCGAAAGGATGTTTCAGAGCAGAGGACCGAGAAGAGGGCGGTCGACAATGCTGAGCAGAGACTACACGTGACTGTAGACCCGTTGAAGTCGGAGGGCGCTAATCCTGCGGTGGTGCAGTCAGCGGATCAGAGTGTGGGTGGGGGTTTGGACGCTGCGGTGGAGCAGAGGGCAAACTAGAGGGTGGACCCGTCTATTACCTGTACAGCGGTGCCGAGGGCACACTTGGCTGCTACCCCCACAGTGCAGCAGAGGGTGGAGCAGAGAGTGAAGGTTACGGTTGATGTTAGCGTGGATCAGCCTGTGGGAGCAGGGAGATCACACATTGCACGCAACAAGTCAGGAGAGAGGATTGACGAGAGTGTCGCGCATGTCTCGAACGGTTTGTCGACTAACAATAATCCAAACACCACAATAACGACTCCTCCCGTTGGCGAGCACCTGAAAGCAAAATGCTTCGTTCATACATGTTTTCGTCATGGACCCTATATCGTAACCACTGGCATCTCGATGAGGGGCGCCTTACTGATGAATGTCGTGAGGGAGGGCACCACGAACGGGATTGCACCTGTGACACCGAACAGTGTGAACACGAAGAGGAGCAAGCACCCCGACGCAGCTCACCTTACGCTACTCTCGTCGAATGGACAAGCAAAATCGAGTGAATCTTCTGCTGGAAAACGGTCGGATATACGACGCTTCAAAATCCCTTCTCCCATACACCGTCCTGCAACGTGCTGCATCGTAACCATCACCTCTCCTTCCAGATCTGACTTTACTAACGTGCTCGCCCTACCCTAACACCTCTTACTAACCCCTTTCTTCTTACCTAATCTCGCTAGGAAGTCATCGGAGCGAGTGATTCCTAACTAACCATAGCCCGCTCCTTACACTCCCGCGCAGCACGTCTACTCTCCCGCGCCAAAACTAACACTCTAACCCCAAATCTAACATCGGTAAACAACTCGCATTACTCCAAAACCTCAAGATCGCACCTCCACTCACTCGGTTATGATAAGGAACGAGTGAGATATTTATTCTCATGTTCGATAACATCCCTCCCTCTCCATATCTCCGTGCAACTTGAATTCTTTTCCTCCTAACTTCTACCACACTCCCTTGTTTGTTTTTCCGAGTCCCTGATCGTGGTCGCCCCACTCAAAAACCTTTGTTTCGCCTCTCTGCTCACCCGATTTCATTGAGAATCGCACGGGTAATGCAAACTTCCCTCCTCCATACTCGTGCTCATCTGTCTTTCTCGTTTTCTTAAGCACTAGATTGTGCCCAGGTTCACTCCACCCTCCTTTTCTCAGTTTCACTTTTTCTCCCTTTCTGCATTCGCTGCCTCAGTTCTCCCTTATCCACTCTCCTTCTCCCGAAAAGCGCCGTGTTCCGACAACAGTTGACCATGCAGCGTCCATTTCCAACCGGAAACGACAACTAAAAATTGAAGAAAACACAAGCGTCCGAGCTCTTTTCGTTTTTATGCGTGTCGTCCTTCTGCATGGACCATACTTACCTTCTCTGTATCGTCCCAATTTTAACGAATGTCTCGAAGGACAACTCATTAGTCCCCTTGTTTGGGATTTTACAGGCTGGGTCCGGTTTTGGCTGGTACGGACACTGCTTCCGAACTCAGGGCCCCCACCGCAGTGCCTTGGGCCCTCATCGGCCAAATTTCCGCACCAACGGCCGATCGTAAAGTTGGGGATACGGTCTGCTGCAAGCTTCAAGTGTGAGACTAGGCAGTTCATCCCTAGGGCAAACCTCACTGGTGATAGTAAGTATTCAAATGAGAACTTTGAAGTCCGAAGTAGCCAAAGGGCTTCCAGAGGGCAGTTGCTGCAGTCCGCAACCTCGTCCTGGTGCCCCTGTTTTGTTGTGCCTAGGTACGTCTCGCTCTTCGGCCTCAATCGTGCTTGTTCACGTTTCAAATTTCTTAACAGATGGAGGGCGGGCGGATAATATACCCATAGCTAGCCCTACCATTCAAGTTTCCTCCACCTTGTAAGCTAAATCACCCACCAGCTCGCACGCACGTTGACCTCCTCGGTCCGAACTTTAAAACAGGAAGGAGCATCCCGAACATGCAGGAACCCATAGGTCAACCAAAGGAGGTGCGCGCTCAAGGTCCTCAAACGCCGTGACGACCCCCTAAATCCGATGTTGCGTTCGATTCAAGGAACCCCCGAAGCATAAAAATAATAATAATAAGACGATAAATAATAAAATATTTAGATAATTTTAGTCGTTAGAGAACGACAGGCGAGGAAAATGAACCGCTAGTACCGCTTCGACTTTGCTAACGGCAAAACCAAAGGGGATAGCCCCGCTGGATGCTCAACCCCCTAGGCTCCTCATCACCGCTCTGATACTCCTGTTTTGTCGCCGTTGGCCTCAATCCCTAAATCTCTAATATGGAAGTCTGATACCGTAACCAATCTTGTTAGGCCCAAGGTTGAACCTAGTACTAGAGGACACCTATATAAGCGGGTACCACGCAGCTCGCGACTCTAAAATATTCCAAGGCCACACCCTCGGACCACGGTCGTCAAACCCTTGCCTACCGCGCGTTCATCCCCTCGCATACTCTGATCATTACTCAATGTCGCACTGTCGTCGATGCCGCCCTTCGTACGAGCGTACATGCCACGGTCAAACGTATTAATCAAAAGACAAAATCCTTTAATCCTAAATTAATTAAAAAACAAAACTTTGGTCGGCAACCACACCTATTTCGTAATCATCAACCAGAGGAGAGATTGCACACGCCTTAAGTCTGCGCGCGCTTACACTCTCTATTCTAGTCAACCATTCAGTCAGCCTAAACAATCAGACACAATTGCGACTCGCGCGGTGTACTCAAACTTTAAACTGAACTTATTTTCTGCCAGTTGCAAAAAAAAAGAGCGGATACCCTTGTAAGGGTATTCACACAGACAACGGTGGAACAACAAGAGGTACATCAAGAAGGAACGACTTCAAATCAGAGATATTGTACTTCTGCATGATACATTTCTCGAGACAAAGTGGACCAAGAGATTGGAAGCCAGGTGGATGAGACCATTCATGATCATCAGAGAAGTGAAAGGCACGACTTATGAGCTGACAGAGATGGACGGTGCAAAATCCCTTGGTTTAGTATTCGACTCCAGACTCCAAAAATTCATACTCAGAGATGCAGAGTTGATTCCGAGTTCGAGCAGAATGCTGAGGCAAGGCCAGTGAACTTTTAGCTTCAACCTGGACATGCTGGGTCGTGGCCCGTGTGCCCTCAGCATAGGTTGGAACGTGACCTGTGTGCGACCAACATCGGGATCATGATGCTTCAAGTTATGTACTGGGATGTGGCCCGTGTGCCACCAACTATGGATGATGCTTATGTGTTGGGACGTGGTCCGTGTGCCGCCATCTATGGATTATGCTTATGTATTGGGACAAGCCTACAAGGCCCGTGTGCCGCCAACTATGGATGGTGATTATACACTGGGACGTGACTCATTTGCTGCCAACTATGGATGATGATTATGTGTTGGGACATGACCCGTGTGCCGCCAACTATGGATGATAATTATATGTTGGACGTGGCCAGTGTGCCGCCGACTATGGATTACGATTATGTGTTGGGACGTGACCCGTGTGCCGCCAGCTGCAGTTGACGGTCGGTCTGACATGCTTATGGATGATTATGCTATGATTTCGAAGGCCGGAGCTAGATACGAGCAGCCTATGATGACTCAACTCTCAGAGGAAGACTTAGGTTGTCTACCAGACCAAGATGGTCCCAGGGATTTATTGACCAGCATTCAATAGGAGACTCATGTGTCTACTGGACCCAGATTGGCCCCGGTTTTGTTATGACTGTGATTAAATTTTTAAAATTTCAGTTCCTTGCATTGTATCTGGTTTGTCATGTGTCGAGTCCTGGGGATGTGCTTGGGGGATTGAGAGTCAGTTTATGGGATTTCAGTTCTTGCCTCTGGTTGTATTTTATTGGTTTGAATGACATTATGACAATGTGGAATGAATGGTTGTTAGATAAAGTAAAAATATGTTTCTTCCTCTCATAATTCAACGCTTAATTGATGGGGCAACCTTCTCGTACGATTACATAAGGAGGATTGCCAAGCATCATCTGACACAAACTGATTGGTTCATCCCTGAAAAAGGGTGGTGCTTGACCCAGTGAAGTGTTTCTGTGGCAAGGGATTCAGCATCGTCGGGATGGGGTTCCTCTCCGAATAGGCTTTTGTTGTTAGGCACAACCAGACTCTGAAGGGATAGGTAGTCAGTAAGGTGTCATAGTCGATGAGGTGATCTGTTCGACCCCTTGCGGCCGAAACGAAGATCACCAAGCATCACAACGGACTGTAACTTGTTGCATCCTTCACACTGGTTGGGATGTTCTCACTGCAGCCGCCCGATTCTCGCAACGGTTCACCGACGAAGGTCTAACATCAGTGGCGTCCACTGCGGTATCAACACTTAGAACCATAGTGAAGGGGCCAAAAGTTTCAGTTGCGCCTCTTGAGCAAGAAATGATTCCCTGAAGCAGGATTTCACAGGTTCCGAGGCTAGTTGGGTTGACGGAGCGTCCGAGCCATAGCGGTTGCCAGCTTCGAACCCTAGGGTGGTTAGCGGTTCCTGAGCATCCCGACCACGGGTTTGCACTCGTTGGAGTGAGGGGCTCATGAAGGGGTGTGCGGCTCCCCGTGAGATGTTCTGAGCAAGGGCTCTAAGGGTGGTCGGACTGCCATGACTAGGAATCACGACTGACTTTACTCTGCTTCCCATTTTGGGTCAGCGGGGGAGCCCACCAGGGTAAGAGGTAGTGCTCTCAGGAGGTCGAAGGGTAAGACTCTGAGAATGAAAGAGGAAAGGGGTGTTGGCAAGAATCTTTAAGGGATACCCTTTTCTCGTTTTTTTTTGCCTGATCTTGCAGGTACCCTACAGCCAGATGAAGACAACGGGGTTTGGTATGACCCGACACTGTGCGGCACAGAGCCGACAGACAAAAAAAAAGGGGTTTGGTATGTTTCCCCCTTATGAGGCAGCTTTTGGCCAAGTTGGCCTGGATGATCCTGAGTTCGATGATTGGTCCCATATCCACTTGTGATTCGACCGTGATGCTGATGAAGGTTGTGCCCGCTGATGATGATGCACTGAGAGCAGAGGGGCTATATGGATGAGTCATGTGCGCTGGATTGATGCATGAATTACTAGACTTAGTGGTATGAGGGGTCTGGTCTGACGGTTGGGACTGACTAAATGTTGCGCAAAATAGGATGAACACTGTGATCAGACTGCATAGGTTGATATGACCTGGATTGTCTCTGAGATGATAATTGCGTACGGTAATCTTGCCATGCAAAATTGAGAGGACTGATCCTTCTTGAATTTGATGGTGGCTTGGACTCGAGGTCCATGCCTTATTGAGTGAGTACTACTT